TTTTTCTAATAAGTTCTGCTTCTATGACCTTTTTGACCTTTGCTGTACCGCACATACACACCAACTGAAAAATACTGTTAAACTGACACACAAGCAGCCTCGCCTATTTTTGAGGTATTAGTCGCAAAACTTCAATTTTCCCCACGTATTTCTGCTAAATTTTCTCTTTCTCGGGATTCACTTTTCTGGACTGGTTGGCCCTTGCTCACCATGAGGAGATCCGCCCACTTTGCAGAAGAACCCGTCCAACTTTCATGAACATGATGAACGGCACTGAGTCTCAGAACTGGCATGTCGAATCATTCTGCGACCCGCCGAATTTGCCTGATTTTTATGGAAACCATCGGAACGGGTCGTGTTCTAGCGCAAACTTTTATCCCATACAATTGATCTCTCTGATCCCCGAGACGAATTTACGTGTAGGCACTCGCTGTCCACACCGGATAGTCGTTGCCCACACCTAATTAGAAACAAAAAACAGAATTTTGAAGAAGAACATTTCACAGCACGGATGGTCCGTTAAGGCTCAAACCCTCATTCTAGCCCTAGAAGGCAAAGAACTCAACGAGGAATTGCCACGGTGATATCAAAAAGCAGGGCACATCATTGGTTGGGGACTTTAGTCGAGTCCGTACGACCCCCACCAAGACGTCTGCCCTCCACATCGAATTGAGCCGTCGAGCGTGGGAGGAGGGGGTAAATGGCACATGTGAAATAGGAAAAGCCGCGAGACAATACGAACCTCCCACCCCCCCCCCCCCCCCCCGCTTCTACCAATTCTCGGTTTTTTCCCAACGTCCTGCCACTTTTAACAACAAAATTTCCCCAAAACTTACCTACTCTTCTCCCCGAGCAAATTTCCCCAAAACTTGTCGAGCGGAGTAGGGCCGGTGCGAGCAAAAACGTAAATACGACCCCCTTCTCAACAAAGTACCAAGTCCCACCACACAATGACCCAAGCTATACGACCCCCCTCCCAACAATGACCAAGTACGACCCCCCCTTTTTCCCTCTTTTACAACGTCCGTGAAGCGAGAAAAATCAACTATCAAAATAAATTTCTCAGCCCAAATACGACCCCCTCTCCTGGCGGCCAAATACGACCCCCCCCTCTTCCAGTAGGGGAATCCTCACAACGATGCTGCCCTGTCGAAATAGTCGCATCATAGGCCAACCCCTCGATTATGCCACCATATTATTCTGAATGAGAACATCCATGGCCTCTGCAATAAGTGCTATCTAAGCAGTTTTTCGGCCATCGTGCGGTCATTGTCTGTGGACAGGCTGCCAGGCGCTTCGGCACGCCTTTGTCAGAACAAGACGTCTATAGCGTCCGCTCTATGTGAAATGTGTCATCTACAAAAAAAAGCGTCTCACATCTGTCATTGGCACCACTCTGACGATTGCCTTCGCTAATTTTTGTCGCTCATTCTGTCTTCGTATTGCATTCATTAGTGTCGAGGCGATGTGATCCGCCCCTTTAGAACTTGCCTGGCATTCATTTTCACCGCGATTCCGAGTGCTCTCTCAACTATTAGGGAGCGAGCTTTTTTTCACGGAACTTGCTGCCATTTCAGAGCAGCCCGATGCCCTTGAATGATTACTTTCTTCGATTTCGCATAAGTATTGATGGATTTCATCCATATTTCGTGAAGCACGTTAGTATATGCGCTACCTCATTTGATGGCGGCCAAGCGCCAGAGAAAAAGAACGCGAGGGCGGGCAAGCGCTATTTGCGATGATTTCAGACGAAGCAAAGTGTTCATCGAGTAAATGAATGTGCCGCCATACATCATTGCCCAGTTAGGTGAGTATTTTGACACATTCGTTTGAGAAATTTTCATTATATTTCAAACTTCTTTCATGTTTTTCAATGTAATTAGATTTCGACGTTGTTGCTAACGCGCGGAATACCCCCATTTGAATATGGTTTTTTCGTTTCTCCGCCACTCGTTTAATAGTTGCGGCGTGCACTTCCATTTCCAATATACTTTGAAAATGAGACTTAAGTTCTAATAGATGTTCTTTGGGATTCGAATTTTCTGCATTGATTACTTATTTCACATATTATCGGCAGTGACTCTGTATTTTTCAAGCTAGCCTGCTTTTATCCGCGCTTTGAAGCACTTGCGAGTGGCGTCCACACATTGACTGAGTAAATACCATTTTGAATGAAAGCCCAGTGTATCCCTGGCTAAAGGACCAGTTGATTTGCGATGCCGGGTGTTTTATCCCCTTTTCATCCCACAACTCGCAGTTCCCATTGTTCCCTTTTCTTCAATCAAATAGTCAAGCGTCCTTCTTTGGGCAAACCACCTGGTCCTGTTTAATCCATCAGTGTTGGCGTAATATGGGGCTGCAATTGTGTCAAAATACGCCGCACATTATTGTTGCACTAAAATCTCATGGCCCGTGACGACAAGGAGATCGTGCTTTGGAACATAAACCCTTTCCGTACCATAATTTCTAGTTCTCTTCTATTGAATGACGATTAGAGCAGGTGGAAGTGCCATTTTGTCTCTTCCCATTTCATTTCATTTTTCCTGTGCTCATATTATAGTACTATGGCACCCAGGCCACGTCGTGGGTTAAAGAATCCGCAGCAGGGGAGGGGGTTCATATCTCTTCGCTGGGGAGAGGGGTCGCATTTGGTCTGAGAAAAATTTTTTTATGCTTGATTTTTCTTCCTTCACGGGCGCTATTCAAATTATTGGGAGAATTCTTGACTTTTCGCGGTTTTGGAAAAAAGTGGAAATTTTTGGGAAGTTTGAGAAGAATTGGTTGGAGGTTAGAAGAATTGGAAAAGTGATAAGTTGGGGATGTTGGTGGGGGAGGTCATATCAAAGAAAGGATTTGGGTAGTCTTAAATCCTGAAAATTTCCTTTTTTTCCAAGGACGTGCCCTGATTGCACCGCTCTTTTTCAGTTCAATGACTAGATCCTTGCAGTTGTTGCACCGCTATTGCGTTATTTCCGCTAGGGCTAGCTACAAATCGTCCGTTTCTGGTGGCAGTAAAGGTTTTTCTAGAAGCTAATTAATTTAAAGCAGAGTAATAGAGGTTTGTGCTGCAGCGCTTAGGTTTTTCTCGTCCGCACAACGTGATTTCCTTTCCCATGCTGTCCTTGTCCTTATAGCGATGGATTTCGTGGCGGAAGCTTGCACTTTCGTAATTAAAGCAGGATATTGATTGTGTGCTCTTTCCTCCCGCGTTATTGTTGTTGTTTTGTTTTTCTCAAAAAAATTAGATTATCCTCCTAAAATAATTGGATTTTCCTCCTAAAAAAGGACCGGTTTCCTAGGTTGGCCATTTCATTGAAAACAACCATAGCTATACGATTCTTAATACATGGCTCGTTATTTGGAATTGCTTTGCGCAGTAAATTGCTTGGATTCGCTTAGTATCTGCGCACGTCGCGGACGTAAATAACAACTTTGAAGCGTCGATCGAAAACACATGCAGCAACACTAAATCTTTTCTAGCCTTCAAAAGCTTCCGCTGAAGGGGATGTTCGAGCTCCCAACATCCAGTCGCTTGCTTTCAACCAGTGATTTCTTTTTTTCTCCTTTCAGAGAAGGCAAATGACGTCATTAGAAGGCAATCTGCAGAATTGGACCGACTTCGCTCAAGTGGATTGTCTGTTGAGAACGTGACTTTACGCAATCAACTAATGCAAATTGCTCAAGAATATAGGCAAGTGCTTTTCATATTTTTGTATTATCGGCAACATTACTTATATTTTTTCTAACTTTTAAGGAGATTCTATCTTAACTACGTTCCCTTGATTATATTCTTTTTTAACTTTTAAGGAGATTCTATCTTAACTACGTTCCCTTGATTGTTTCTTCTTGTTTTGCTTGACGAACGAAAAACAACGGGTTCCTTCCAACAGCCAGGCAGGAAGAAATTTGATGCACAGTAAAACTCAGGAAGGGGCAGTTAGGCGACGAGGGGGGAGGGGGCAGGGCAATCAACACTTGTGCTACTTTCCGCGACGTTTTGACCCGTCTAGACAGCTATTTCATGAGCTTACAAGAGTTGTCAGGTTTTACCATGGTAGCTCGACGAGCTTGCTCTAGCTTCACAAGTGTTCACAGGTTTCACGAGAGTAAGACTTGTAAACTGGAGCTCAAAATACTCCCCCCGTGGCCTTACTGCGGAAATTAGAGCAATCCTATGATCTCATCCTTTCTGTTGTGAACATTCGCGCATTGTTAGCCCTTTTTCCTCTGTTCTGCTGTGCGTGTTATCGCATTTAAAAGCTGTTCTGTTCGCAATTCCCTTGATTGCATCGCTTTTCTTCTTGACATATTGACAGACATTTGCTGTTACAATGCCCTGTTCCAAATGCACCCTATTTTCTGGGGTACGAAGCGCACCTTCGCTCTGAGCGCCGTGAATGTTTTTTTCTTTTCGTCCGGTTTTTATATTTTTTTGATCTTATCGATGTGAATAATTCATAGGGAATAAGAAGTGTTTGAAAGCCGTTTAGAAGATTAGTGTATGGAAAAGAACACAAAAAAGTTGCTGCTGTTTCTGGAAACTCTGCAACCTGCTAACAAATCACCTTAAACCCTAGGAAAATAGTGTAGTCGCTTTGCTCGCGTCTCCTAATACTCGTTCGAGCCTGATGCCCAGGGGACGCCATCGTTGTGCTGATCACAAGGGGGAGGGTCTTATTTGACCGCGAGGGAGGAGAGGGAGGTCGTTGGTATGAGAAAAAATTTTTTGATTGTTGATTTCTCTTTCCACCGACACTATAAAGGGGGGGGTCGTATTTGGTCGTTGTTGGGAGAGGGACTGCCAAAGATCTATACAACTACTATTTCCGATAGTTGAAAATGATAGTTAAATCCTGACGACCCCCTCCCCTCCCCTCCCCTCCCCTCCCCCGAGAGTGGTCGGTAGCATGGGGAAGGGAGAAGTCGTTTCCGAGGATGGAATTAGTGGGGAGGGTCGTATTTTTCAAGAATTGATCACAACGCGATGGCGTGCCCTGCTGATGCCTCACTTGAGCGTCTCGGATGCTTTTGTCCGCTTTTCCTTACGGGGGTAGGTCATTATCAGCTGCGTATTCATAATTAAGCTGAAACCTAAAAATTATAGTCGTCGAATGTATTTCCAAGCCATTTTTGACTCACATTGTTCCCGACTTTTTCGCTAAAACTCTTGTTCAGGTGTTTCCTTTTGAGACATAGCTATTCAGCAATTGGCGAGGCCGAGCTAGGAAGTGGTTTTTTGGTTCTTTGGTTGCCCTTGTACAAGATACCCACCTTGTATCGCTCATTGTCCGCATTTTTCAATTAGAAAGTGTCTTCCTGAACTATTCGACGGAGCAATTTTCGCAGTCGATTTCCGTCTCTAGGCAAAGGGCGTTTTGGAATAGGTTTCTCGTTTCGTATAAAAAGCTCTCATAAAAGCCACGTTTTCAATACAGCTACGCTTAATAACTGCAGTTGTGAACGTTGTTCCTCTGGAGAGTGTCGGATAATCGAGGTATGTTAGGGAAAATCCGATCAAGATATTTCCGGCTCTGTGATTGTTTATATATAAACAAATATCAACTAACACAGTTGCTTTTGTTTGTGTTTTCGTTTGGACAACCATTCTAATCCGCATACGTATTCTTCTTGAAAGGAGTCCACTCTTGATTGAATTTTCGAAGCGTTTGTGGCGAACAGCTGTTCGATTCCATTTTAGGTCCAATCGGCAACGTTTCCTGGACCAGGAAGTGCTATTGTCGGAATTGAATTACGAAGTGAAAAGTCTAGCACGAGACAAGGACATTCTTCAAGAGCGATGTATCGAGTTAGAGAGGAAGTATAAAAAGGCGAAAGCTGCAAGCAAGGAATTCGAAAAACTCATAGAAGCAGTTAGTGAACTGGAACTTCTTTGAATTTCTTTGGTGAATTTTGTTTCTTTCAGGTTGATCCATGCTCATCGAAGGCACCAGATTCCCCGTCGTTACTCGATCGATCTCGAAGGAAACACAGATCTCCCTCCAAGAAGGACGAGCAGAATGATTCCTTACAAGTATGCCTAAATGTTTTCTGGACATTAACGGATAAAAGTAGTTTTCTTTTTCACATTCTGCCTCGCTGCTTTCATGTCCTGCTCATTTATTTTCTTAAAATCCATCAGTGTTCCAATTGTTCACATTTTTTTCTCAATATTTTCAACACAAAACTACTGCCTAGATTGTGTCACAATATTGCATTTCTGATCTTCGTTTTTCGTAGATTCCTCCAAAGAACACCTTTGTGTGGTGGCTGAGAAGTCGCCGTTTAGCTGAGGAGTTACAGTCTCGTTCGCTGGGGATGATGGGGCGTGTCAGGGGAGGAGGGCGGGTGGGTTTGACGCAGCGCCGGCCCGTTTCTTTATTTTTTCTTTTTTCGGCAAGCAACAAAGTTGCATCACATTGTTGGTATCAGTCTTTTTCCATATGTTGTCGTCGCTTGCCCGCTTTGACAACTAGTGGGGGCCGCCTCCCCCGCTCTGCTCGCCGACGGCAGTTTTTTTTCTACGGAAAACTGGGGAATTTCCCAAACTGGGTAAGGGTTGGAAGCTGGGAAGTTGGAGAATTTAGAAAG